CTATGTGAGTGCATTTTACTTGCATATTTCATACCCACAGAGATACGCTTTTTTGTACAGACAAAGTTGAGGGATTTGTACTTCTTCATTCTCATATATTTCCTTTAAAATGTTTGTCCATGTGCGCAAAGCAGAATAGTATATTTGATCACACTAGGTAGCTCACTTGCATTAGGAACAAATATCTATTTACCTAGTTATCTGTATATCGACAACTACGAAGAGCAATATTCAAACATTTTCGTCCAGTCAGTATAAATCATTTGACTTCTTTACACCAGACTCTAGATACTAGGTAGAGGTTATACAACATGCTTTATATGTCAGTCTTTTTCCATGACTTTGAGATGGTATTAAGGTATTTGTTGAGGCCACTAGTAATGAGAAGTAGAGTGGTTTTGAGTAGTCAACTTTTAGCTTATTAGTCATAAATGCTTGAGAACACCTTTCCCATTGGAGTCGGACAAACTAAGTTGTAAAATAACAGCGTTAGAGGAAAGATGAGTTTCAAATGATGGACTTGATTTAAAAATTCAAATGAGGCAACGAAGTAGCAGGAGTAGTGAACTTGGTATGTAATGGCTCCAAATACTCTACTAGTTTCTTAGGAAAACACCCAGTACGGGTCACTCATTTAACGCCTATGCTGCATTCGAGTAAAAATATTAAAAAAAAAGTCATGAACTTTTACGTCATTCAGTAGGAGCAGCTATTCGTCTTTCCAACCTTAATTCGTTTGTTTTTCTTTAACTCTATTACTCCTTATGAGGCTTAAGCAGACGACCAGCGATCTTACAGCGTCTCCTTTCCAGGTGTTCTCAAATTATGTTTATTCTTTTTATACCTACCTTAGATTCCCGGAGCTATATGTTATTTAGTCTGGCCCTTCCTCATTTACCTGTAAAATTTCAAGCCACAGATTGCCTTGTGATATGTTTACTGATCCCCATAAAGTTTTCTGTCTACCTCTGGTGTCTTTTTCTAATTTCTCAACAGCTGAATGGTGGTTTTTTTCTGCTAGAGTTCGTTATTATTAACGGTCTCTGACTAATGAGCATGTGGTATCTCGTGTAAACATCTTTTTACATATTCATGCATTACTTCGCAATGGTTGCTGTAGCTCTTCAATTTTCATATCCGCACTGTAGAATCTATTGAGCGTATTTGAAGCATGATATCATACTAATAAATGAATTGAATATGATCAGCTTATGTAAATACTCGATAATATTCAATGACTGCAAATGCGTCCAAGTCAGCACTCAAAAGTTACGAGAAATGGAATGGACTACTGAATATTAATAAACAGTATTTAATAATATACAGAAAGGAGTGGAATAAAATAAATATGAATAAAGAGAATGTAAATGAACTTAACTGTTGAAAATTCGCGATTCGGTTCTGGTTAACGATTATTTTGAGTTTCAAATATTCGTCAGTTGTAGGAATGTTTTCCTTGTTTTGACATCTACATCCGATCCTTCTTAATTATCAATAATCCTTCCCAGGTATTCATTATCTATCCGTCATCTCAACATCAGTTTGCTTGTACGAAAAGAACTTGCGGTTCACCCGGTATTTTCATGGTGATTTGCCCACTGATACCATTTCCTTATTTCTTTCTTTCTTTCTTTTGTCATTTTAGAAAAATATTTAGAAGTTGGTGTCTGCTAGACCCCATATTTATCTAGTCACGATACAGTCTTCGTTGTTCATATTTCCATTGTTACTTGATGGTTATTGGAACGAAATGTCATTTTGACATCCGTCAGTAGACTCCTTATCAGTTTACTAATTCAAATGCTTCTGTCTTTTCACAGCATTTTCTACTATTATTATCATTATCAGTATCACAATCACCATGAACACGATCACTGCACCATTATTTTCTGGTAATTAGTATCAGTTTTAGTATCCTGTTTACAGTCTTCATAACAAGCTCCACATATTCTTTATCCACAGTAACGTCGTTGTCTCTCGGTTAATTCATTCATCTATAAATCGTACTTGCATGAATATGAAAAGTATTATTAACCAGTCTTCACAAGTGAATTAAATGACTTTATACACGAAATCTCATTTGAAAATATCTTATTTATACATATAAAAGAATCTATGCGTGTGTGCAAGATTTAGGGCACACGAAATAGAGCGAATTTACCTTGTCTCAGAATGTTTATTGTCCCTGCTTTAAAAAACCTAGGTTTGGTTGAAGGCTTTCATCGTAGGCAATATAACTGACGACCAACATTTGCAATTCATTTAAATACAATCGCCGCCAGTTGCTGAGACCAAATGAAACTAATAGTCTTATAGGACCAAACGTTTATTGATAGCTGTCACTAACAAAACTACTTGGATAGAATAAAATTCGTTTTCAGAAGTATTTTCAACGCTACAACCTCATAGACAGTCATTAATATATCCCGACTCTGTGAGACCACAGGATCTATGTTGTCAAAGCCTAGTGACTTAACAAATACTACTGTTGTTCTAAAACATTAAATCACTTCATAAGATGGTCAGTCAACTCTGGAAACGTCAAATACTACGGAGTATTTACCACTATTTACTGAGATGAAACAAACACCCGGACAGACTACAACAGTGTATTAGCTAATAACCAGCATAAAAGAACTGTTAAAAATATTGTAGAGGATCAAGTAATTAGACATTATCTCCAACAACTCTAATGCTACAAAGTCTAGATAATAACTGGTAGTAGTTAAAACAAATTGTTAGTTTGTGTTGTACCCCAAATGACTTTTAATCCAACAACAACCAATCAATGAAATTTTGATATACCCAAACAATGACTGGTAGTGTCAGTACGTCAACTCTACTGGCATTAGATATTTCATCGGATTTAGCACCTACAGTGATCAATGTTAGGAATTTAGTTGTATTGATCAATGCACTAACTGGTTTAGCTTCATGACACAGTATCCGGCGAATTTTTTAGAGACTTCAAAAGTGGTAGGAAGCTTCATTGAACTCTCCAACAACAGCAGTTCTTAGGCTAGGGACACACTATGACATGCAATTAAACATAGGCTATTCACGTTCAACTCAGTTCGTTCGCGATGTCTGTATAGTTGTACTTCTTCGGAATTAGTTAACAACCGTTTTAGACTGTCCACTTAGAATGTAACGTGAGTTCGTTACTCTACTTTAACCTTATTCTTCGTCATTATGGGGATATTACTTCAAATGATTTTGAGAATAATGCTTTACTAGATTTTTCAGGAAAAAGATAGTTAGAGGTCCCGCTTAGGTTATTGGTTTATCTTTGATGGAGGTAGTGGAGGTTTTTGTTTCGTAACCTTTTAATTTTTTTATGTATTTTAAAACACACTAATCGTTTAATAAAATGATATATTCTCGATGACGTGAACACTTATTCATAAAAAACTCATTATAATGTAATCTTTATACAATAAAACTCCTTTTGCGTGTTTCTGAACTTTATAGAATGATAAATGTCGTTGTTTCTGTAGCTTACCATGTAGAATAAGAGTCTCATAAATGAAAAGATAAGAGAGTGTATGTAATGAGTTGGTTATTTTTCTATTGAATTACATTAATAACTACATTTCATCTGAGTTTTACAGGTGTACCGATCATCTTTCATCTGAGACGTTTCAAAGCCTTTTTAACTTATTGAACATTTTTAATATCAGCACGTTCTCATCCTATTTTATTAGATACTTTAGATGAAACTGAAATGTTTATAAATATTACTAGTAATTACTATTTAACAAACCACACTGCTATTAGATGGTATTCAAGCGTATTTTATGAAAGAAGCTATTTTGTTAACTATTTTATTTTACTAACATAACTGTCCATTGTTACTAGCTAATTACTCCATAAAATGTAGTCCATGATGGACTAGCTTCAACTGACTCATGATCTCAACTATAAAATTACTATAATATCCACAACCCCCCTTCTGATATTAATCAGTATATGTTCACTGGTGATTGGCTTCGAGAGGTATTTCCTAGAGTTCTAGTGAGAAGCCGTGACCAGTGGAGTTCAACCGGATCTGTTGTGAGATAGTAATTCACCTAACAACAGTGGTGAACGTATCGGTCAATTTCGTGGATGAGCTGAAGTTAGACATTAACACCTTTGAATCCCAGCTCAGTGGTCTAGAGAAGAAGTGTTGGCGTGCGAGACTGATAAGTCCTAGGTTCGATATCTCATGAGGCGGGGGCGTGGATGTTCACTTCTGAGGAGTCATACACTAAGACGAAAGGGCCATCCATTGCTTCCAGATTTTCCATGGTGGTCTAGCTTCAATTGACTCATGATCTCAACTATTAATACATATATATATATATTTCATGAATTTGTTACTTTTTGAACCCATCTAATTACAAATATCCTAAATAAAATATAAATTCCATTAATACACCAACAACTAACAGTTGATATTCATTCTCATTTTGTTCATTTAAGAATATCTCAATCAATATAAAACTATACTATAATAAAATACATTCAATGTTAATGAATTTAGATTGTACTCAATAATCTTTAATTTCATACCATATTCATTTCTACAGCAACAACAACAATAAAAATCAATCTATTTGCGATGGATATAAAATTTTAGGATTTAAAAGTAAAACCTTTTTTTTTATTGTAAAGTCAACATTGAGCCTTAGTAATTTGAGAATCTTATTTATTTTATAAAATATATTTTTAATACTGAAATTATGTTTATTCTCTTCATTCAGTTCTAATATCAATATTTACATACCTTTTTTTGTGCACATTGTACAATTGATCAATTATATTTTTATCCTCAGATTTAAACAAAATGATAAATAGGATCATTTATTACATATAGGATTAATAATAAGAAGGAATATGTTTATTTTCTAAGATATAATTACATTGATTTATTTACTTAAGAAGACCCTCTTGAAATGTCGAATGGATACAAACATATATATATATATATATATTTGTTTCTGGAAGAATATTTTATTACTGAATAAGTATTACTTTGTATCATTTACAAATTTCAACAATGAACTTAACACATCTTTTATTGATTTGTCTTATTTCATTTGTGTTCTTTACGTATGTTCAATGTGACTGTAAGTAAATTATATTCATATTACTTATCTATAGTGATTATTTTAGTTTCTTGGGGTTTTTTTTTTAAAAAAAATTATAAGTTAAAATGACTTAATCATCTAACTTTATATTAATTAATTGTGTATTAATCTAAAGAAAAAAACATTTTCATTTCACATTGAACAATGATTTCATTGTTACAAATCATATGATATGAATAAACAAAAGAATTCATTATAGTTTGATGATAATTTTATTTTATAGATTGGTTAAAATTAGACACTAACACTGTTGGATACCGACTTAGTAGTCTAGAAGTTAAGCATTCGCTTGCAAGATCGATAAGTCCTTGGGTGAACATTGCTAAACAGTACCATACTAGAACAAAACGACCATTTAATGCTTTCAGGTGTTCAATGATGATCATCTAGCTTTATTCGACTCATGAAACCAACTCTTTTTAATTTGTTAGTATAAAAGTATCTGAATGAAATTCGTGTGGTATAGTTTAGAATAAACAAAATAAATTTAATAAATGAAACATTTAATTGTGAATTAAATACATAATCTATAAGATTATTATTAAACAATATTTCTAAGGTCAAAACTAATCTAACAAAAGTATAGTACTTACATCTCATATGGATCATCCAATTATTGATTATAGACTATCTAAGGTCAGATATATCTAAAAAGGATCAGCTTAAAATGATCATCTTATCATGATTTTAACTTTCTTTTTTCACGTATATTTTCATCTTTAAATACCATGTAACCTTATTCTCCTTGAATAATTAAATTCAAAAAGAGAAAATATTCAATTCAAATTGACGTATTTCATTTCATTAAATTAAATATGATTCTTATTTATAATGAATTAAATTGACATATTATGGAAAAACCACACTGTAATCTTGAATGAAAAAAATTTGTTTCCTTCATAAACTTCAACCAATTAAGAATAATAAGATTTGTAGAATAAAATGAATTCTATACATTTCAAGACTTCTCATCAGTTACAAATAATAACACAGTTATCATGTTAATTTACTTAATGCGATCAAGATTGATGTACAAAACGAAACATGAAATCAGAACATCAAAAAGACTAAAAGTATCATTTAGTAACTCACTGATGACAATGGTGGATGTGTCGGTCAATTTCGTGGATTAGTTGAAGTTAGACATTAACACCATTGGATCTCGGCTCAGTGGTCTAGTTCATTAAGCGCATGGCGCGAGACTGATAGGTCGTGAGTGCGCACCGCTGAGGAGTCCCACAATAGGACGAAACGGCTGTCCAGTGCTTCCAGGTTTTACAAAATTATCAAACATAGTCAAACTTATTCAAATGGAAGTCAATCAAAATGAAATGATGTTGCATGATCTAAAACTAACTGAATAAATAAATAAAAAAAAAATTCTATTTTACTAAAAACTATTTACTACATGTAAAAGAAAAACCCGGTTCACACATCCTTGTCGTGACTCATGGATAGTGGGGCTTAATCCTATGAACTAACGTCAGTGATAAACTGGGTGGTAAAGTTAGGGCTAATCACTCACTCGACCGATACCCATAAATAATTACGAATGCTACAAAGAAAAATAGCACAACTGTTACTGGACCAAAAACGATAAAACCTAAGGCAAAAAAAATATCTGCAAATACAGCTATTGAGCCCCGATAGTTGTACCGTGCTTTGATGTAGCTACTTCTCCAGAACGACACATATAAATAAAACTGTACAACTTCAGAAAATAATTATTGTTTAAAAGAAAATTTCGATTGCTAAAATGTTTTTATAATTATTTGTTTATTCATTCCCTTTGATTCATAATTATCAGTATTAGTATATGTTTCATTCAACATATAAACAATTATCCATCTTAATCACTATAATAAATATCATAATTTTTCTCCTTTTCCCATTTTTTATGACTATCTGTCTTGCTTTAAACATTAAATTCAATTTTATTCATTAAAATAAATTAATCATACTACTATTTAAAACTTGAAGCTGTTTGTAGCTAAGGCTCATACTATTCACGTATCATTTTAATAGTGTTTGTAAATTTATTATATTTTTTCTAATCATCCTGGTAATTCATTTACTGCTACTAACTGATATTAACATCAATCTGTGAATTCTCCATACTAGATACAGGTATACTATCGATTAAAGCAAATATTTAAATATTAAATCTTTATAAATAACATGCTCTTTGTTGATATATTTCTTTTAAATCTCACATGTTATAAGACTGAGAATAAAACGAAATTTCAACTCTTCTTTCTTTTATTAAAATATAGATGATTCAAATACGGAAGAACCATGTAAACGAGTTCATGCTTCATTAAAGACAAATTATCTTCACTAGTAATATATGAACAGAAAATCAAAATGAGCAAATATGGATAATGACTAACAGTGGAATCTAGGACGCTCATTTCGTTCTATTTGTCACTCGTCAACTGGATGTACCTGAATCTCAGAGTTGATGTTCACTCTAAGACTTGAACCCAGTACCGTTCGCATCAAATGCCATCGCATTCTCAAGCTTAGATAGCCACTTACTTGTACAAGAACGAAACGAGTGTCCTGGATTCCACCACTAGCCATTATCTATCTTTGTTTATAATATTTGTCAATTAAAGCAATATCAAGGCAATACCTATAGTATCCACATATACCAGTAATAAACTAATCATTTGCAATCCTAAACATCAAGTAAACAATACCAAGTGAAAATCATAATGTTTAGTAAATGATGAATTATTTTATCGGCTTGCCTTTTCGTTTAAAACAATAAATCGTATTCCATGACAAACAACTAGAAATAAAATCAAGAATGTTGATAACTTACAATTTTCTCGTTGAATCAAAATAGTAACACTTAGCTTATTGTAAGTCTGTTTTCAAAAAGAAACTCCCATATAATTAAAAATATTGAAAAATGTAATTTATATTAAATTCTAGGGGAAGAAGAAGAGTAAGTAGTCAATGTTCATATGATATACTTAATTCATTCAATCCCCATCGCTTACAATACTCCATATACATATCATTCTACATCATGCATAGATACATGTTCTCATCCAACAATTCTAACATTTCATCCAACAAATCTTCTGTGTACCATTCCTTTCTTTTCATCAAAATTATCATCTTTGTTTCAATAAAGCATCATTAACTAACCTCTATGCATAAGATTTGCTCTTTACTCTTTTAAACTAATTCAAGTATAATTTAGTTGATTATTATTTACTAATTTAATTATTCCTGTTTGATTCATATCTACTGATCTGAATAATTTTTTACTAGTATAGGGGTTGTGGAGATTAACAAGATTTTGATTGAGATCATGAACCGATTGATGTGAGACCACCTTTGGAAACCTGGAAGCACTGGACGGCCGTTTCATCCTATTGTGGGACTCCTGTGCAGTGCGCATCCACGATCCCGATCGCGGGATTCCAACCCAATAATACTAATAATAATAACAACTAAATTCAAGTATTATCAGTTCAAATATCTATTTTGATATTATCGATCATTTGAATAAAATTCAGATATCTGAATTCCAATTGAAATGGATTGTTTTATCCCATTGTTAATAATTTCAACTGAAATTCGATCAATCTTCATTGATATTTGAGGATCGTTTGTGAATTATCTCGATATAGTCATTGTGACATAAATTGTTATAGAAGAGATGGTATGTGACCAGCAGTGGAATACAGGACACGCTTAAATGTTAATCTGGACTTAGTAGCTAAGTGAATAATGCAATGGCGTTTGAGGTAAACAGTATTGGGTTTGAGTGTTGGGGTGAACATCAAGTATTAGATATAAGTGTATTCACCTAATGAGTCCCAATTGAGACGAAACGCTCATCCTGCATTCCACGGCTATTCACATTCCATCACTTCTATATCAAATATTCTGTCTAAAAGTTGAGAAACATAAAATGTCAGACAAAGACTGAATGAAAGAAAACTAAGAGGTTAGCATAAATGGTACTTGATGAAAATAATGAATTCAGATTAATTTGAAAGAAGAAAGTGTTGGTTATCAAAGTGGGTGGTAATTTAAAGAAGAAAATGCTTTTCGAATGTTCTATAGTCAATAGGTGGATACAGATACGATGGACAAAATAAATATATCTGACTTGTGTGTCCCAGTAAAAACAACATCAATAAATACCTTATTTCATTTGGTGGAGTTTTGTTCTCTGAGCTGGATGGTTTGTTTGTGAAGCTTTCATCGTTCTTCTGAAAGATATCATCAGCACAAACTTCAGGTTCCATGTTTTGTTTATCGGATATTTAACATGTTAGTTTAAATACGCGCTTTGTTTATTTGTTTCATAAAATCTATTCCTTCAGTTGGATAGTTTGAGTTTTAACCCGGTTACATCTGATCAGATATAAAAGATAAAATATAGAATAGGGAACTATTTATATGGCTTCAAATAAATTTTCGTTCCTTTTTCTAGGGAACCTGATGAAAAGTTAGTTACCTGTCAAGATTAAATGACACAAGGTTTCATTTTTAAAAATCCCATCAGTACCTACTAATTGATGTTGATGAAACCAACATTTACTCAGTTAGTAACATTAGGCTTCTTTACGGCTAACATGCCGATTCCATTTTACAGATAAAAAATAAACTTTGAAAATAGAGATAAAAGTTTGTTTTAATAAAACAACAGAAGTTATACAAGTGAATCATTGAATGTCTGTTCAGTAGTCAAAATATTGAACTCTCTATGAGACCTGAAATTCATGGGTTCGATACTTATTTAGTTGTTGAATGTACACTGCTGAGAAGTATCATATTAGTACAACACAGTTATTTGGAGATCTTTGGTTTTCAACAGTTGTCTAACTAAGTTTAATCCATGAAATAAAGTGAAACGAAACATACATAAGAAGAACTATTAAGACTGAAGAAAGTTTTCAGTAATATATACTATTCTATTTTCGTCCTAGTTACGTGTATTAGATTCTATTAAATGCAATGACATTGTATGTATTCTCTAAAGTGTACATCCTAATTTATTTTTTTAAAAACCACTGCAATATGAAATGATGTAACTATCAAATAAACAGATTTCGTTTGTTAGTATATTGACATATTTCAATATTTAGAGTGTAATATCTAAAGTGTTGACAAGCAGAGTGGTTTATCTGAATAATGATAAAGTTTCATCGACAATGTAATGTACCATGTTCTACAGCTCATGTTCTACGGTCTCATTTATTTGTAGTGAATCAAGCCTCTTTGATTGCTCTAGAGAACTAGGGAATGGAAGGTATAAAGTTCTTGAGTAGAAACACATACTTATATATGTTACTAGATTTGCATCCAGTATTTGGTACATGGTCATGTACAACCAAAACCTTTAAAGACTGTTAGTTACAAATCGGGTTTCTGTATTTTCCTATACCTGCAATTCAATTTTATAAATTTAAGCTTACTATTTTGGCATTCGAATGAAATAATGCTAATTATTGCAATAGTCTAATAAAGTGTTGAGTATAATTTTTCTGACATTGTCTACTTTGAATTCCATCAACAGTGAAGAAGGGTCTGATCATAAATCATGTTAATTTATTGTCTTATTTTAGTAGCATAGATCAAATGATATTCAGCTCATTAAGAAGATTTGATGTTTTGCGATTGTTTCAAATAATTTCAAGCTTAATATTTCATTTAATGAATGGCAATCTAACATCTATGTTATGCATCAGTGTTTTTGTTAACTTCAAGATTTTGATTGACTAACACAATAGAACGTAGTATTTATTTTACACACTAAAATAGTCCCAATCAAACATAAAAGATTTATAATTACTATTATTATTACTATTATTAAATAATGAATCACTTGAATTTGTTACTGTTTATGTTATAACTAAAGCTGTTTTGCAAACAACTGAATGAACACTTGTATATGATGATATGACACTAAAAAGGAAAAGCAAAGAATTAGTTGTAACTAATCGTTTATTACATATCAAGAAATCAACATAAATCACAATTCGGTACTATTTGATTAGAGGTGGTCGATAGAGATCTCTTCATATAGAATTATGGCTAGTTGCCCATTACCAACGTGTATCAATACTGTTAAAATAAATGTTCCTGTCTTTGAGTTTCCATTGAATCCTTTTATTTTTGTAGGAAAGATAATACTCAATTATTCACTACTAGATGGTCAGTTAGTCTAGGAGAAAGTTGCCAGCTAGAACTGTCACACGTTTCTTCACATACCTTATAGTAGTGATGAACAGACTGGAAGTTATACAGTGTGTTGAACATTTTTACCATTGGACTGAATCAATTTATTGACAGAATATTGGTATGAAACAATAATGTATTGTAACTGAAAAATTGTAAATCTTAATTTAATCAAAATTTCTTTATGTTTATTATTCATTCAATCTCATTAGAACACCAAAACCTGTGTAAGCATATGTAAACAAAGTTTAGTTTTATACACCGTTTTCATAGTTATAATGATGAGAAAATTTAACAGATTTACACAGTTTGTACATTTGTTATGGTTACATATATATTACACACCAGCTTATTAAACATATGGCCGCACATATACGGCCACTGTCAGGGAAGTCCTACTCACTACATTCTTGCAGCTGGGACGTTGTTTACGAAATTGAGAAGACGGAAAGCGAATATTCGACACTCTTTCCGAGTTGATTGGTGGATATGGAGGATCCACCTAGAGGAGTTGGAAAACCCTCATTCCAAACCAATGGCGTACATGAGCTCCAGGAACCTGAGGGAACAAATGGCGTATGAACATATTGTTCGTCAACGGCCATCATGGAACTGCATCTCCTGACGTTGCTCCACTCTCTTGTGGGTCAGACCTTTAGGTCGAGGCTCGAGGTGTGGCCCCATATGAAAACCACCTCCTTTGGCATGGGCACCCAGCCACTATCATAGTCCACACAAAAATCAAGTGACTTATGTGGTGCATATGTGTTTGGTGTCCACCACCTGTACCAATATTTATGTGTTCAAATAAATAAATGTAAATAAATTGTAACTAAGCTATCCACTGTAAATTAGGACATTAAATAAATCCTGAATGTGAAGCACAATTTCTAATATACATATTCAACTTCCAAGATTGCCAGCAAATTCTCACTGATATAAATGAATTAGATTCTGTTGTAAATCAGTTAGGTTCTGTCCAACATAATTCAGCATGTTATTTCTTGTGTAGTAAACAATTATTTAGAAATTCTTAAGATTATCACTCAACCCTAAGACCAAATAACTAATCACCATGACATACAAAGTTAATAAATTACCATCATGTTTACATAAATTTGACCCCATTATTACAATGAATACATACACTGTAACATGTTCGTCGATTTGATTTGATTTTAGTCCACATAGGAAACACCCGTAAGTTCAACATAATTCACGTAAATTAACTGAGAAATTTGTGTGCAAACTTTTTAAAAGAAAAACATTAGATTATGTAACAAAGAAATATGTACATATAACTGACAACTATTCTAAGTATAAAGCATAGAAATCCATCATGTTGAAACATCTCTTTGACATGAAGAATGTTTGACAATTTTCATCACTGAGAATACATTTAATGATTGATAATTTGCTGATTATTTGGTGTTCATTACTGGATCTATAACTACAATACAACGCTTAGTCAAGCATATGAGTCGTACATAGTGCAAAGATGATTTGCCACAATTCCTGTGTTCTGTCAATTGTTAGCTTGTTGATAATCAAACTGAAGTGATTAACTAAAAGAGAGATAGAAGAAGAACTCCAACAACAGTCTACTGAATATTTACTACGATATTCTGGATAGAATCAACATTTATGTTTTCTTGGCTTGAAATCTCTACTATACATAGCACGCGGCGTCGAAATATATATATATATATATATATATGTTGTATATTGGCTTTCGTATAAGTGATTAGATCGAGAAGCTCTGATAATTCTAATCTAGGCTCTATCTAGGATTTAAAAAGCGGAAATCTACGGCTAAGCTATCTTTGACAAGCTTTAAGTGATATTACATATACAAAATAAATTTTCATATGAGAATAACTTATAATATTAACCTTGTCGAATGAATTTCTTGAGAGGATGATAGTTCCTTAGAACAAGTTAAATCATGGAGTCCAGTTGTGTATTTATTTACAATCATTTGATAAAATGAATAGAAGGAATTCGCTTCATCAATGACCAGTCACAAATTTAAAATAACTGATCGAAAATCATCTTTTTAAATACTCATTTGTTAGTATCGTACAACCTGTAATCTTGAGGGAACTGGTGCTCTCTGACGGATTCGATCCCGTGTCACAGGTACACCTTGCTGACGAGTGCCATGTAGCACGAAACCCGGATCCAGGGTTTCCTGTCGACTACCTCCAACCACCATTTAATCTCAATATATAGTGCGCACAGTGTCGAGTCACCTAGACTGGTGGCCACATTGCATCATGGTCGATAGCGCTCGGTCTGCACTAAATAACGACTTGACACACATGACATTGATCACCATCAGTGATCAATCAATTGTGATTACAAACGAGACTCTCTATCTAGAAATCATACCAAGATTCATGAAAACACTAATTTGTAGATGAATGTGAAGTTGAAATAGTGTAAAACTGAATATTCTAACTGAATCTAATATTATTCATTTAAATAGTGTTGAAGGAAATCTATGAGTTTTTGACAAACATCATTGATGTAATGTTTGTAAGTAATGATGGATGTTGGCTAGCAGTGAAATCCAGTTTCACACGCGTTTCGTCCTATTTAAGACCCGTCAGCTGGATGTATCTGTATCTCAGAGTTGATGTTCACTCGAATTCACTACCATTAACTTCAAACGCCATCGCGTTATCCACTCAGCTACTGAGTCTCGATAGCCACTTGCTTGTGCAATGGGGTCAATTTCAATTCACTTGGTATTGTTTGGCTTGTATTATTAAAAATATTGAAAGATTATTGTTGAAATATACTTACAAGAAATAATCTTGAAACTTTGAAAATTTACAGAGTTTTAAGAAAAGTATTTTTGTAAGTTGATTTACAGTTTAATATCTATCAAATAATCACTGAATGATGAAAAAGTTAATGAATATTGGGAACCATTTAAACAAAATATTATTTCAAAGAGCTAGATGAATAATGAAAAAGAAAACCTTTTCAGAATGGAAGTACTGGACGGCTGTTTCGTCCTAGTATAGGACTACTCAGCAATGCAAGCCACTATAACCATTTCTATTATTGGAACATACTGACTAATTACATCAAACAAATAATATAATCTTGATGTTATTATTTTACATAATGTTACTGGTTATGGCCAGACTGTTGTTTCACATTTCACTGAGAGTTCAAAATATTATAATCAAAACAGTATTAGATGTAGTATAGTTTTGATTAGGAATATGGCTGTATTATAAAACGAATGAATAATACTTATATAAGCTAAATCTTCTGGTTGATTGAAGATTTAATAGATCATTGAAAAGTCTCGACTTTGTTTGATGCTGTTCAGTGCTCTGAACTAGATGGTTTAGTCACGGAGGACTCATCATCATTCTGCACAGCATGAGCGTTTGTTTCACGTAGAAATGAGCATTTTATTTATTCCATGAGTCTCAAATCAGTTTATTCTGGTGGGTATCGTTGTAGCTTATGATGTCCTGAACTGTCTTTGTGCTCAAGTGACTATTTTGTTCTATTGGCCTCTTTTGAACGCATTAAAATAAATCAGTTCTAAATCGATATGACTACTCACTTCCCCAACCCATTGATCTAAACGCTATGCGTCAAGATATTCCTCGTGATTCGTGGAGTTTCTATGGTCTAGAATTTCGACGTTCTCTCAGTTCAACTTATGTCCATAGTTGTCCGTATGCATTGATTTCAGTGGTAGCATATCATGTCGTTTCACTGACAGTTTATATTCGTGTTTGAGCAGGTGAAGAGAGCATTCACATTGTCTAATGTGGTGTTTATTACAGTTTCATTCTTCAATGTCAGGTCTTAGATAAAACTGTCTAAATATGACAAAGGACAATTAAATGTCCTGCGTGCTTATAAATCAACGGTCTATTTTCTCTATTTAGTCGTTTCACATTAACTTTCTATTCTCCACATAAAAGAATCTTTCCATCAACGTTGTTAAAGTTGTTCAGAGTATCGTCAATGTAATATTTAGTTCCTGATAACAATATACTGGTGAAAGAAAACTACTATCAGGTAAGAGTTTAACTTCGCAAAAGGTGTCGAAATTCTTAATACTTTTAATACATCGAAATACATAATGAATAAAATAATGTGAAATTTGTTTGGTTCGGTCATATTTTTATTTTGAATTCTTATTTATATACAATGAAATACATATCGTAGTGTAGAATTACGGTGAACGAACATAGGTTAATTCAAATGGAAACCTCCTCTACCATATTTCTTTACCTTGCGATTATAATTCCTAAACACCTACATATTGTAGTTAAAATTGAAGCACTAATGCAGAAAATTCCTATCTCATGTCACTTTGTTAGAAGTGCACCATCATGGATGCAGTAAGTCTATTGTTCTGGATGAATCATTTTATATTTAAACAATCATTTCATTTTACATGAGAGAAAATTAAATCTTCTCATTAATGAACATCGCAGTATATTGTATCTGAAGGTTGACATTCTTCATAAAACAGCAGAGTAATCAGTTATCCCGCTCAATTTTACACCTATTTTCTAACATCTCATCGTTGTGTTCAAGAGTGACAGCGATATATTTCTTAAAATTCAAACCATTTACGTGTATACTGAGAGTTATGCTACAATATCCCGGCAAGAAGTTATCAGATGGAATTAAGTTTAATCAATCTTGCTCGAAATGATTACAATGTATTCTTAGAACTGTATAAATGTTTAAAAACGAACAACACAGACTACTGAGCTCTTTTCTTCTAACAGTCGAATACTTCATGAAGACAATATCTCAAAATGATCACAGAAAAATGTGCGCTTGAATAATAAACAAGTATTATACCACGGTGAAACGCTATTGCAAGTTAATCATAACTTTACATAGTTTCAACCCTTATACTTTTAAAATATTTATTTATTAGAAAGTGATATTGTGGTGTGAGCTACTTATATCTACACAGAGTAGGATATAACGATAGTCAGCAATAGACTGTATTTCGGAAGAAGATCAGGAGAGATAGAAAGGATAAGAACGGAAATTGATTGGTATTAAAATGCACGTACAATCAAATCTGAGATGATGGACTGATATTTGCAAGAGGAGCAGTCAAGTTTTAGACAACTGATTGATATTGTTTTGCAAATTAACCATTTACGGTATGATTGTCTGATTTAAGTAAGACGTTCCTTAATTTTGTACTCAAATATATTCGATTGTTGCCAGTCGTGTTCTTGTTCATTACAATATACAGTTAAAATACTTCTGTAAATTTCTTATTTCAATAATTACACCTTTATTCATTTATTTATCTTTCAGTATACCATTTTCTATTGTTGGGTATGTCGAACTAAATATCATTTCATTATGACCGTTGTATATAAGCATATTCAACCAACGACAACATTAATTAAGTCTCAGAAAATTTCAAATGAATAAAATGTCTCAATTTAATCATACCGTATCAGATCAGTAAAATGTAATTGACCCTTATTTGTTTTTCTTCGAGAAATTAAGTATTACCGACTTCTATCTAACATACCTGGGAAGCATCATCGATGAACAAGGAGGTTCAGATGCAGACGTAACGGCGAGGATTGGCAAAGCAAGAACAGCATTCCTACAGTTGAAGAACATATGCAACTCGAAACAACTTCCCACCAATATCAAAGTCAGAATCTTCAATTCGAACGTCAAGGCATTTCTACTGTTCGGAGCTGAAACTTGGAGAACTACTACAACCATCATCGAACATGTACAACTATTTATAAATATTTGTCTACACAGGAAACTCAACATCCATTGGCCAGATACCATCAGCAACGGCCTTCTCTGGGTGAGAACAGACCTGCTTCCAGCTGAAGAAGAAATTAAGAAAAGACGATGGAAACGGATAGGACATACATTACGCAAGTCATCAAACTGCATCACGAGGCAAGCCCTAACTTGGAATCTCGAGGGGAAGCGGAAAAGAGGAAGGCCAAAGAACACATTACGTCGGGAAATAAAAGCAGTTATGAAATGGATGAATAACAACTGACAGGAGCTAGAAAGGATTGCGCAGGACAGGTTTGAATGGAGAATGCTGGTGAGCGGCCTATGCTCCTCCACGAAGAGTAACAGGCGTACTGTAATGTTCTGTACTGCACTGTACTGTGCTGTACTGTTTACCCAACATATTTATTCGAAGAAGTTTATAGGAGTATTTCAATGCAGTGCTCAAACAGTTGATAACTGATAAGAGAGATTTCTGTCAACAGATGGTTGAAATGACTGTGTTAAACATTTGATTGATTGATTGATTGATTGATTGTGAGTGATTGAGTTTTATCACAATGTCCTTTGTTTATAACAAAATCAGCTCATTGGTAATTCATCCAACAATGAACTAACTAGTAGTGTAGAGTTGACAAAGTATCCTACGATTCTTATGATTTCGAAATATTATTCATCTAATGATATAGAATTAATTTCTTTCATTATCTGTTACAATACTTGACACAATCAAGAATTTCAAATTCTTCCTTGAACAAGTGATTACATTTTTCAATTTACACTAATTTTTAACACTGATGTTCAATAGTGGTATAATAGATTGATTGATTTCCAAAATATCCATGAAACAGGTCCTACTCATATTATCAGAAGGGAGGGATATTGTGGAGATCTCAGTGATTTTGTGGATTGGTTGAAGTTGGACATCCATTGGATACCGACACAGTGGTGTAGAGGTTAAGCGTTCTCACGAGAGACTGACAGGTCCTGGGTTCGGATTGCGCGAGTGGGATCGTGAATGCTCACTACTGAGAAGTTCCATACTAGGATGAAATGGCCGTTCAGTGCTTCCTGGTTGTCTGTGGTGGTCTAGCTTTAATGGACTCATGAATTCAATTCATCATATTAGTTTAGTAAGTAGTGTGTAATGTACCTGAGCATTATCCACGAGTTAACAAAGTAACCAGCCTTCAGCTAAATTATATCTAATCTTTTTCAGTCGAAGTAAACCAAATTACACCATGGCATATCTGAAACTATAGATTCAATAAACGCGTTACCCTCATTTGTCATTAAAATGAACTACCATATTTCAGTTTTGTTCAGTATAACATTAGAATATATGATCAATGAGCTTTTAGAGTGGATAAAATGCCCATTTAATTTTTTGAAAATAAAACTTGTTCTCTTATATCTCAAAAGTAAATATCCGATTCATACTTTCTTCTCTCAAAATAAAGAGCGGTAGCAACATACGTTGCGTAAGTTCAAAGTTTAAATGTTTACATTCATTTGTATTTTTGTTCTTTTAATGATGGTTACTTGTCATGAAGTCTTTTTCTGATGAAACAACTATCAAGAGAAATAATAAGGGTATTAATTTTATGAATAAGTTTATTTTAAAATTGAGAATTATTTCTTATTTATTTCCTTAACTGATAAGAATAACACTCAGAATAATCTGATATAGTTCTACCATTCAACTTGATTAGTAAGTGTCTCAGAGACATTCCTGGTTCACAAAGTGTTCAGTGGAGTAATGAATGATCAAGTAATCTACACTGGTTAGTGATCAGAATGTTTCTCTTTTTCAACATGAACGACTTGATGAGAGTATTCTTCTGAGAAAATCTTTTGTTTTACGTTGCTGTTTATTATATTTCTTATTCTACTTGATTTCCTTCAGATCTGTGAAAGTGTTATGTTGTTTTAACTCCTAGAACTTCATCCTATTCTCATTCATTAAGCGCTGTTTATTTATAAATTCACTTGAATGGATAGTCCTACTCCGTCTAATCTCTTCTTCCATTTCGATGATAGTTTATCCTTGAAGTAAAACATTCTAAAATCTAACGGTGCTGAGTGCATGTAGACTGTTCTGTAAATATTCCTTAAGCAAACCAAACTACAGTACACCACTAATATGGCAACAAGAATATTGTACATGTATTTCTGACAGAGTGATAATTCGTGACAATTCTTAAAGAACACGCTTGACAAATGTTAAACTATTCACTTCGAGAAGGTTATGAAAGTTGTCCGAAATTCAACTATCGTATCTTCAATTGTATTGAAAGAATCTGAATGGCACAATGCATTTTACTAATTAAGTTGTGAATTCCGAATGATCATAAGATCATCGATGCTCACAGCATAGTATTACTCTACAATGTTAGTTTCCATGGTTCTATAAGATTTTAAATAATCTATGTATATTTCATTGAATCAATCATGAAATTGCAATAATACTTATTCCCCCTTTCTTTTCTCTAAAAACATATTTTCTAGCTACCATTTCTATGGTTAAAATATGAAGGAAGATTGATTCGTTTCGAAAGAGAAACTTCAATATCGATTCATTAAACTCCATTCAAATTAAATGACATAAATAACGAATATAATTCTTGTAACAAGAAAAGTTTCATAGAGAAAATTTCCGATGATAGTTCTTTTTTCTTTTCTTCTTTTTGTTTTGTTTTGTTTCTCTCTTATCGTTCATCGTTTGTTATTTCAAATTTATGTATGAAACTTGGAATTGTTTCTTAGAAATTGGCTTCATTACCAAGTAATCATAATAATAGTAATAGTGTAGTGAACAGAACACGGGTGGGGACAATCGAATTGTATTTGCACCAAAATTACAGAGTTACTCCGTAAAATAGAAAATCCACATAGAAAATCGTTTATTTGCAAAATATCAATCCATCATATCAAACCAGACTGTTGTAATCCTGTTGTAATCATCAATCCATTGTCTCACATTTCATTGTTCATGAGTTTTCTTACAAATTGCATTGTGTTCCCACTCTTCGTTTCTTGATCTTCCACCATCTTCTGCTGTCAGACATTATGTTCTTTACCCCGCGTCACATACTACTTACATCAATTTTAGCAGCACGCAAAACAATAGTTCTAATAAAAGTTGAAATGAATAAGACTTAATTAGTTAACTAGTAATGACATTGAACTTTCATTATATAAATCATAGGTAATGTTATTTATTACTAAATGTAATAACATAATCTCAAACTTCACTGTATTTCTTCTTACTATATTACTAGAAATGAGTTAATTTTAATAATTGAATACATGAATCATCGGAAGTTAGATCACTATAAGAAACATGGAAACAATGGACGACCGTTTCATTCTAGTATGGGACTCCTCAGCAGAGCGCACACACTATCCCGCTCCACGAGTTTCGAACCCAGAATCTAATGGTCTCACGAGCGAACATTTAACTTCTAAACCACTGAGCCGGTATCCAATGATGCTAATGTATAACTTCAGCCAGTCTCACGCGGTGGGATCATACTATGATTACACGGCCGTCCATGGTGGTCTAGCTCAATTGAATCATGAATTCAATTATTAAATTACTACAATCTCCACAAAACCCCTCTCTGATGATAATCATCATATGCTCACTATTGGCTGTCTCCAAGAATTATTTCTGGGGGTTTAGTGAGAAACAGTGACCAGTGGAGTTCAAACGGGTCTGTTATGAGATAGTAACTCACTGAAAACAATGGTGGACGGTGGTACAAGTTCGTGAATTGTTGCAGGTTAGACATTAACACCGTTGGATGCCGACCGGCTCAGTGGTCTAATGGTTAGGCGTTCGCGCGCGAGAACGATAGGTCCTGAGTTCAAATCTCGCGAGATTGAATAGTGGATGCGCACTACTGAGGAGTTCCATACTAGAATGAAACGACTGTCCAGTGAATCCAGGTTTTCCATGATGGTCTGGCTTCAATTGAATCATGAATTCAATTATTAAATTAATACAATCTCCAAAAAACCCCTATCTGGTCATAAATATATTATGTAAACTTGTGTAAATTTTGTTCGGTTACTTGTCCACTCTGAAGAAGTAGCTTATATTAAGTCATGAAACATCAGAAATACAGCTTTCCTATTCATTGGAATATAACAAAAATATATTTATTATAAACAAACAACTATTTAGCGTCTACTATCTTTACAATTAGATCAGTTAAAGCTAATAGTGTTAAGCATTAGAAAACTTTGTAAATCAATCTAATACCACCGAATACAATGACTGACTTGCAAAAGTTTTAAAATTATCAGTTGAAATTTCGATATTTATTCAAGCATAAAACAAAGAGTAATACAACAGTTCATATGCATAATATTTGGCAAATCTTACTTGACTTCATGACATGTAAATAGTGTTATTATGATCAATGAAGTGATCAAATGAAAGTCAGTAGAGTGTTCTCATAGTTTTAATCATAATTAACAGCTTACCACCTCATAATTATCCGAGTGTAATGGTAGTTAATAAGATATCTAGAATTTTTTGTTAATTACTGAGGTTAATGACATAATATATTTGTGGGAGTAGTGATAAAATGTCATCAATTTCCAGAATCTCCGTAACAGCTAAAGTATGTGCATGAACAAGTTTTCGATATGATAGTCAACATTTTAACCATCAGCAGCCTGACCACCAATGAGTTACGAGAAGTGTTCCCAGGGAGATTTTCACAGTCATTATCAACTTCTTTTACTTTATCGTATATAACACCATACTGTCTAAATTGGATGTGAATGATGTTATCGGGTTGCACGCAAATGGATTTTACAACATATGAAGGCTAAGCCTTAAAGAAACGGTGTGTAATAAAATCTACTTCCATGCATTTATATATCCTATTCGAGTATATTTCTTTCACAGGTTCATTTGCATTGTTCCACATTTTGTATTTGTTAGTAGAAGATCCGGGCTAGTGAAATCCTAATTTCATCTCAAGTTCGGGTTAGTTTATCCCTCATCATTTTCCTACACATCTGCACAGAGCCGACAAGATTTTTAAGTTCTCCTTAAGTGAAAGCTACAATATTGATCTGAAGTGATTGACACAAAGCCATCTACTTACTCAATCATCAAAATAATCACAAATAACGGTACTGGTTTTACGAATACAATTTAATCTATTCTCGATAGATGAAATGTGTTGAAGAGGAGAGCTTCCCAACACTTGACGGTCGATTTCCAAATCTACCACAACCAACTATCAAAGTGATGAAATTTTAAGCAAATCTCTAAGCGTAGAAGTTACGGGTCGTGTTCATCAAATTTCAATTATGAAGATCAACATTTGGATATATTAAATCATTGTTTAGTTGTAGAATACTACATTAAATTTGATTCAAATTATGATACCAATTAGCATAATGTTGACTTTATTCTCCTTGTCAGTTATGAACTATTAACAACGCTAGATGTTACATTTTAAAGACAGTAACTTTTATACCACTTGTCACACACACTCAATTCATTCTATATAATTGGAATAATTATGACCTACCTTATTTGCCAATAACTTACATCTCGCATATGTAAATGTTAGTTAGTATCCGAAATTTCTTTGTAAACTAAAACACATGATGTCTGATTTTCCAGCTATTTAACTAACTCGATCATTCTCTAATAGAGCTGCTTTGTCCTATCCCATGTTGTGCAATCTATATCATTGTGGTTGTTGACTCCTTAAATGCCGTATATGTTCTCATATTTGCATACATGTAACAATGTTTGTGTAGGATCTGATTCCAAAAGATATTATTCAGTACTATAACCTACGAACTTGATAACACAGTTAACCACAATATACAGATGATTATAACGAAGATGCTGGTGTGAGTACGTTACGATAATTAGAACGGAACAGAAAAAATTACTACAGACTAACTATATATATTTAGTACAAATTGGATTATTTAAATACAACATCACAAATGGACGTTCTACTTGTCCGGATAGCGTGTTGGATAATTTAAATGTTATTCGAGAGGAAGCACGGAAACAACCAAATTGGTGTTCTGATAGGAATATGATCACGAGAGTGATTAATAATAACATTCTTCACGGTGGTGATGATTATCATGATGGTGATGACGACAGTCATGGTGATGTCCGTGATGATGATGGCGGTGATGACGACAGTCATCGTGATGTCTGTGATGATGATGGTGGTGGTGATGACGACGGTGATGATGGTGATGGTGATGACGACGGTGATGATGGTGATGGTGATGACGACGGTGATGATGGTGACGTCCGTGATGACGACAGTGATGATGATGGTGATGGTGGTGATGACGACGGTGGTGATGGCGACGGTGTCCATGATGATGGTGTCTACGGCATCCATGGTGGCTGTGATGGCGGTGGTAATGGCCATGAAGCAATTGTGATTGTGTGGCATTTTCACCGCCAACATTCTCTAACATACTTGCATCAGTGTGATTACTTTCACTCGTGCTGTCTGTCGGATCTATTTCTTCACTTCCATATCCACTGTCAGAATCCTTCGTCACATTGTCTTGTTGCAGTGGCTCAGTAACAATGACGGTCGGTCCTATTGAAAAACAAGACTTCGTGTTAGGGAATTATTGATTAATGAAATATATGGGAGCATAAACAAACACAACTGACTGTGTGCAGATGTTGACCTGTTTGTTTGTTTTTTGGTGCAACGACATAACGCTCCACTGTTAACTCGTCAGGTGATCATCTGTAAGCACTAACACACAATTCAAAAAATGTTCGGAACACGTGTCACTCAGAACTGTCTGTCAACTGCACAGAACACTATCTCTGTGACGTCGTTTTATCGAACAATAATACACAGATGTCTGTAACGAGACACTCAACCACTACAATGCCTCACATAACGTGCATAACAAACAGTGATACTTGATGAATTGAAGCGTAATAAACGATATATTCACGTTGAGAGACTTTTCGGTCGACACTCATCCTCAGATATCTCAACAACACACTCACTTACCTTCACTAGCTGGAGAGACTGATAAGGCTTCGACCAGTCGGTGTTCGAAAACGAACACACTCAGTAGTAGTATGACGATGAGTTTCATTGCAATTCTGGAAGAGAGAGAAATGTTGACCTGTGAGTAGTCAGTATATCTCTCTTGGTGAGTTCATGTGTATTAGTCAGCGTGAATGTAGTAGAGTAGTAATAGCATCACGTCAGTTACAGAAATTTCACCAACTTACTCTCCTCACTCTGACTGTTTATCTTCCACTACTCGACAATGTTAGTGGGAGTCGCCAATGCAAGTGTGATTTAACTGCACGTGTATTTATATGGCAATGTGGTCTATGGAAAATAGGTTTAGAAAGTCACGTAATAAATCACTCAAATCAATCATGATAATCACTTGTGTCCTAATGACCGATGAATGTTCATACACCCACTTTAGTCATATGTGTTTCCTTCCGATCGTGTGTGAACTTTTCGCTCCCATTGCACTTTGTGGATTATCTAAGATCCTTGAGCATGTGACTCACGATTCCAACTGCTTTTTCAGTTTGTGAATATATTGATCACTTTTTCACGTTTTTTCCAAATTTAAGAGGAACAACACAACTATACACTACACCCAGTTATCGATATAGGGATGTTTCAAAACACCGATTTTTGCACACGCACAGCAGGTTTGAAATTCCTAGTGTTCCAGATTTCTAGGAACGTGACAGAACACCATTGACAATCTCCATACAAATTTTCAAAGCAGTTCTTATTTCATGACTAACAACTAGAAATAAAATCAAGAATGTTGATCACTTACAATTTTCTCGTTGAATCAAAATAGTAACACTTAGCTTATTGTAAGTCTGTTTTCAAAAAGAAACTCCCATATAATTAAAAATATTGAAAAATGTAATTCATATTAAATTCTAGTGGACGAAGAAGAGTAAGTAGTCAATGTTCATATGATATACTTAATCCATTCAATTTCCATCGCTTACAATACTCCATATACATATCATTCTACATCATGCATAGATACATGTTCTCATCCAACAATTCTAACATTTCATCCAACAAATCTTCTGTGTACCATTCCTTTCTTTTCATCAAAATTATCATCTTTGTTTCAATAAAGCATCATTAACTAACCTCTATGCATAAGATTTGCTCTTTACTCTTTTAAACTAATTCAAGTATAATTTA